GCCATGTTGGTGTGCTGCACCCATCAACTCGTCAGCACCCATCAACTCGTCATTTACATCAGGTATAACTCCCAATGCAATCCCTCCCCCCTCCCCCCTCCCCATGATAGGCCCCGGTGTGTGATTTCCCCTTCCCGAGTCCAAGTGATCTCATTGTTCAGTTCCCACCTATGAGTGAGAACATGCGGTGTTTGGTTTTCTGTTCTTGTGATAGTTTGCTAAGAATGATGGTTTCCAGCTGCATCCATGTCCCTACAAAGGACACAAACTCATTCTTTTTTATGGCTGCATACTATTCCATGGTGTATATGTGCCACATTTTCTTAATCCAGTCTGTCACTGATGGACATTTTGGTTGATTCCAAGTCTTTGCTATTGTGAATACTGCCGCAATAAACATACGTGTGCATGTGTCTTTATAGCAGCATGATTTATAATCCTTTGGGTATATACCCAGTAATGGGATGGCTGGGTCATGTGGTACATCTAGTTCTAGATCCTTGAGGAATCGCCATACTGTTTTCCATAATGGTTGAACTAGTTTACAATCCCACCAACAGTGTAAAAGTGTTCCTATTTCTCCACATCCTCTCCAGCACCTGTTGTTTCCTGACTTTTTAATGATTGCCATTCTAACTGGTGTGAGATGGTATCTCATTGTGGTTTTAATTTGCATTTCTCTGATGGCCAGTGATGATGAGCATTTTTTCATGTGTCTGTTGGCTGTATGAATGTCTTCTTTTGAGAAATGTCTGTTCATATCCTTTGCCCACTTTTTGATGGGGTTGTTTGTTTTTTTCTTGTAAATTTGTTTGAGTTCTTTGTAGGTTCTGGATATTAGCCCTTTGTCAGATGAGTAGATTGCAAAAATTTTCTCCCATTCTGTAGGTTGCCTGTTCACTCTGATGGTAGTTTCTTTTGCTGTGCAGAAGCTCTTTAGTTTAATTAGATCCCATTTGTCAATTTTGGCTTTTGCTGCCGTTGCTTTTGGTGTTTTAGACATGAAGTCTTTCCCTATGCCTATGTCCTTAATGGTGCTACCTAAGGGCAGCCAGAGAGAAAGGTCGGGTTACCCACAAAGGGAAGCCCATCAGACTAACAGCAGATCTCTCGGCAGAAACTCTACAAGCCAGAAGAGAGTGGGGGCCAATATTCAACATTCTTAAAGAAAAGAATTTTCAACCCAGAATTTCATATCCAGCCAAACTAAGTTTCATAAGTGAAGGAGAAATAAAATCCTTTACAGATAAGCAAATGCTTAGAGATTTTGTCACCACCAGGCCTGCCTTACAAGAGACCCTGAAGGAAGCACAAAACATGGAAAGGAACAACCGGTACCAGCCATTGCAAAAACATGCCAAAATGTAAAGACCATTGAGGCTAGGAAGAAACTGCATCAACTAACGAGCAAAATAACCAGTTAATATCATAATGGCAGGATCAAGTTCACACATAACAATCTTAACCTTAAATGTAAATGGACTAAATGCTCCAATTAAAAGACACAGACTGGCAAACTGGATAAAGAGTCAAGACCCATCAGTCTGCTGTATTCAGGAGACCCATCTCACATGCAGAGACATACATAGGCTCAAAATAAAGGGATGGAGGAAGGTCTACCAAGCAAATGGAGAACAAAAAAAAGCAGGGTTTGCAATACTAGTCTCTGATAAAACACACTTGAAACCATCAAAGATCAAAAGAGACAAAGAAGGCCATTACATAATGGTAAAGGGATCAATTCAACAGGAAGAGCTAACTATCCTAAAAATATATGCACCCAATACAGGAGCACCCAGATTCATAAAGCAAGTCCTTAGAGACTTCCAAAGAGACTTAGACTCCCATACAATAATAGTGGGAGACTTAAACACTCCACTGTCAACATTAGACAGATCAACGAGACAGAAAGTTAACAAGGATATCCAGGAATTGAACTCAGCTCTGCAGCAACCAGACCTAATAGACATCTATAGAACTCTCCACCCCAAATCAACAGAATATACATTCTTCTCAGCACCACATTGCACTTATTCCAAAATTGACCGCATAATTGGAAGTAAAGCACTCCTCAGCAAATGTAAAAGAACAGAAATTATAACAAACTGTCTCTCAGACCACAGTGCAATCAAACTAGAACTCAGGACTAAGACACTCAATCAAAACCGCTCAACTACATGGAAACTGAACAACCTGCTCCTGAATGACTACTGGGTACATAACGAAATGAAGGCAGAAATAAGGATGTTCTTTGAAACCAATGAGAACAAAGATACAACATACCAGAATCTCTGGGACACATTTAAAGCAGTGTGTAGAGGGAAATTTATAGCACTAAATGCCCACAAGAGAAAGTAGGAAAGATCTAAAATTGACACTCTAACATCACAATTAAAAGAACTAGCGAAGCAAGAGCAAACGCATTCAAAAGCTAGCAGAAGGCTAGAAATAACTAAGATCAGAGCAGAACTGAAGGAGATAGAGACACAAAAAACCCTCCAAAAAAATCAATGAATCCAGGAGTTGGTTTTTTGAAAAGATCAACAAAATTGACAGATCGTTAGCAAGACTAATAAAGAAGAAAAGAGGGAAGAATCAAATAGATGCAATAAAAAATGATAAAGGGGATATCACCACCGACCCCACAGAAATACAAACTACCATCAGAGAATACTATAAACACCTCTACGCAAATAAACTAGAAAATCTAGAAAAAATGGATAATTTCCTGGACACTTACACTCTTCCGAGACTAAACCAGGAAGAAGTTGAATCCCTGAATAGACCAATAGCAGGCTCTGAAATTGAGGCAATAATTAATAGCCTACCAACCAAAAAAAGTCCAGGAACAGATGGATTCACAGCTGAATTCTACCAGAGGTACAAAGAGGAGGTGGTACCATTCCTTCTGAAACTATTCCAATCAATAGAAAAAGAGGGAATCCTCCCTAAATCATTTTATGAGGCCAACATCATCCTGATACCAAAGCCTGGCAGAGACACAACAAAAAAAGAGAATTTTAGACCAATATCCCTGATGAACATCGATGCAAAAATCCTCAGTAAAATACTGGCAAACCGGATCCAGCAGCACATCAAAAAGCTTATCCACCATGATCAAGTGGGCTTTATCCCTGGGATGCAAAGCTGGTTCAACATTCGCAAATCAGTAAACGTAATCCAGCATATAAACAGAACCAAAGACAAGAACCACATGATTATCTCAATAGATGCAGAAAAGGCTTTTGACAAAATTCAACAGCCCTTCATGCTAAAAATGCTCAATAAATTCGGTATTGATGGAACATACTTCAAAATAATAAGAGCTATTTATGACAAACCCACAGCCAATATCATACTGAATGGGCAAAAACTGGAAAAATTCCCTTTGAAAACTGGCACAAGACAGGGATGCCCTCTCTATTCCTAAGTATTTTGATTTTTTTGCAGCTATTGTAAAATGGGTTGAATTCTTGATTTGATTCTCAGCTTGGTCACTGTTGGTATATAGCAGGACTACTGATTTGTATACATTAATTTTGTATTCTAAAATTTTACTGATTTATCAGTTTCTGCCCTGATGTGATTATTATGCGTTGTATGCATATCAAAATAACTCATGTACCCCATAAATATACACACCTACTATGTATACACAAAAATTAAAAATAATTTTTTTTTAAACTCTACAGTTTAACAAGACCCCCTGGTGATTTATGTGTAGATCATAATTGGAGAAGCTAAGGTTTGAGTATGTCCCCCAAAACTCATGTGCTGGAAGCTTAATCCTCATTACAACATTGTTGGGAGATAAGGCCTAATGATTAGTGGTGGTTAGACCATGAGGGCTTTACCCTCATGAATGGAGTAATGTCATTATCACTGTAGTGGGTGAGTTATCACAGGAATGGTTTCCTTACAAAAGGATAATTTTGGCCCCTTTTTCTCTCATGTGCCCTCTCTTTGTGCTTCTGTCATGGGATGATACAGCAATAAATCCCTTGCCAGACAATCTTGGACTTCCCAGTCTCCAGAACCTTAAGCTAATACATTTCTGTCTATAAATTATTTAGTGTGCAGTAGCATGTTATAGCAACACAAAACAGAGAAGCATTGGTTTGGGGCACAATGGAAGAGTAATGTGTAAGCCTGAGCTCTAATCCTGATTCTGCCACTTACTAGCCACACTAAATTTTACCTTAGTTTCTTCATCTTAAAAGTGAGATTAAGTAATAACCCCCAGGGATGTTCGGTGATTTTATTTCATTGCATCTGAAGGCCAGAGTAATCCCTCAATAAATATTTGTCAAATCTAGCTACAAAAAAAGTTGGAACCATTTAGTAACCCACTATTAGAGGGAAAAACCCTATTAAAAACCCCTAAAAACCTATTAAAAACCCCTAAAATATCTGTCAAATCTAGCTACAAAAAAGTTGGAACCATTTAGTAACCCCTTTAACTTCTACTTTGAAGTTAAAACTCAAATGTATTTTTACATAGAGTTATTCCCCCTGAGTTGAATCTGCTCATTTTTATTAAAATGTATAATTAGTTTCTTTGATGTTTCTTCTTAAATTCTCAAATGGAGACTGAAAAAGAAATGGTTTCTTCTCCTTCCCTCTATCTTCCTTCAATTTATCTTTCCTCTAAACACAAAAGAAGGGGAGAACCCTAAATAGAAAAAAAAATCAAATGAGCACAATAGCAATTTTTCAGAACTTCAAAATGCATGTACGTAAATTAAACTCTTTCAAAGCTGCACATGTAGCGCTAAACAGGCCCTTCTGTTAAATGGTTAAATAACAAGACAAGAACACAAAGCAAACTTGTACATAGCATGTATCCAATGTCTGTTCTTTGAACAGAACCCTTGATCTGTTCAAAGGGAAATGGCAGCAAGATAGCCAAAGAGCAGAAGCTTGCCAAACTAAATAAAGAAAATCAAGACAGAGAGCAGGAATAAATGTAACAAAGATACCATAACAATATCTTGGAGTTAGGGTCAGGTGGAATAATTCTTATCTGTTTCTCCTTTTGAAGGGCAGATTAGAACATGATAATTGGAGTTCACATGATACGTGATTAAAGTCTCTGGATAATCACAACTTACAATATCCTGATTATTCCACCTTATTCTTCCTGAAAAAAAGATATATTAGAGGTATATGGCTAAAATATGGGATGTGGGTGATCAATAGCCACAAGGAGCACCCGATGTCAGGCTCTTTGATTAATCTGGGACCCCAGGTTTTGAAATAAGGACCAAAGCTACAAACTGTAAAATAGTAAATTGTGTCTGTAATATGAAAGAAACTGCTCTTCCAATTTTGGTTAATGATTGGTTTTTTTCTACATAAATGATTATCTCATCAACCAAATTAGTAGGATTTTTAAAATTCATTGTATAAAATATAGTTTAACTCAAGTGACTCTCTAGTTACAACCTGCTTGTGGATCTTAAGTATAGCTACTTCAATCCTTTTTGCCAACGCCACTAGATTAATAGTTCTACCAAATGGCAAGGCTTCTATCGTTTCTGATGTCTCTTAGATACTCCAAAGTGGATGGGGACTATCTCACATAATTTTTACACAGCTTCCTGTGTCTCTGCTATCCTTATGCTCTGGCACTTTACATTCCTCTTAGCTAATTCTGCTTGGCATAGAACCCACATGGTGTCGATGGCCTTTGACATCATTGGGAGTGTCTATCTTCTCAAATTCTGATGCTTGGGATGACATCCTACCTGCCTCCAAGTCCCTGTCATAAACGCCACCTGATACTTTATTCTGGTCACCAATACATTGGTGTTAACCCAACCTTGACCTCCAGTCCTCACCTCTCTCTGACTGGTAGAGAAACGATGTCCATATTTTCATCCCTTCCATGAGAAGGAAGAAGGAATCTGACAGCAGAAATGTTTGGGCTCATAGTAATAAATTGCTTTTAACTTCCACACATTAACTATCTCTTTTCCAGGGTCATAAGTGACCACAGAAGTCTGAGCTGTGTAAATTTAAAAGCAGCCTCACATTTGTACCCTACATCAATTCTCTCTTCTCATTGTGACAGGCTCTTTCATTTGTTGCGGTAATTCTTCTCTCTTAGGAACCCCTTTGTCTCTTATTTTACTCTGGTTTCCTTTGAAGATTTTAATGAAGCCACTTTCTATCCTTCACAAATGTCAGTAAGAGTCTGACCCTGATGTCAGACAAAGCCAGAGGTGGAGTTAGAAGTTATGAGGTAGACTGACAGTAAAGTATTTGATACCTTGATATGTTCAGTCCTGACTTTGCTAGTCCCAAATTTTAAAACTAATTAATAGCACATTTTGAATTATTAGAGACATAACTTTATAATAAAATGGTCCTAGTCGGCATTTTACATGCAAATATGTTCTCAAATATTGAGAGCACTTGTTTCAAGTCTCAGATCAATCTCAATATTACTTGCTAAAAATGTGAAGGTAGGATATGAGCCCAATAATCAGATTACAAAATTCACACCTACCATTAATTCTATTTGCAAATTAACATATGAAATAAGAATACACTCATAGTCTTTAACTTTCAATAATAAACATGTTTCAAGTAAAAGAATCTTGGTAAATATAAAGGCCAATGACTTCATTTTTTTTTATTTTATTTTTTAATGATTTCAACTTTTATTTTAGAAACAGGGGGTACGTGTGCAGGTTTGTTACCTGGTCATATTGCATGACCATATTGCATGATTCTGAGGTTTGGGGTATGATTGATCCCATCACCCAAGTGCTGAGAACAGTACCCAATAGGTAGTTTTTCAACCCATCTCCCTCGTCCTTCAAGTAGGCCAGAGTGTCTCTTGGTCCCATCTTTATGTCCCTGAGTACCCAATGTTTAGCTCTAACTTACGAGTGAGAACATGCAATATTTGATTTTCTGTTCCTGTGTTAATTTGTTTATGATAATGGCCTTCAGCTGCATTCATGTTGCTGCAAAGGATGAGATTTCATTCTTTTTTACAGCTACATACTGTTCCATGGTATGTATGTGGCACATTTTCTTTATCCCATCCACTGTGATGGGTGCCTAAGTTGATTCCATGTCTTTGCTACTATGAATGGTGCTGCAATGAACATATGCATGCATGTACCTCTTTGGTAGAGTAACTTATTTTCTTTTGGGTATATACTCAGGAAGGGGATTGCTGAGTTGAATGGTAGTTCAGTCTTGAGTTCTTTGAGAAATCTCCAAACTGCTTTCCACAGTGGCTGAACTAATTTACATTTCCACTAACAGTGTATAAGTGTTCCCTTTCCTCTGCAGCCTCACCAGCATCTGTTGTTTTTTGACTGTTTAGTAACAGCCATTGTGACTGGTGTGAGATGGTATCTCATTGAGGTTTTGATTTTCATTTCCCTAGTGATTAGTGATGTTAAACATTTTTTCACATGCTCATTGGCATTGTGTGTCTTCTTTTGAGAAATGTGTTCATGTCCTTTGCCCATTTTTAATAGGGTTGTTTTTGATTGTTGATCTGTTTAAATTCCTATAGATTCTAAATATTAGACCTTTATCAGAGGCATAGTTTGCAAATGCTTTCTTCCATTCAGTAGGTTGTCTGTTTACTCTGTCAATGGTTATTTTGCTGTGCAGAAGCTATTTATTTTCATTAGGTTCTACTTGTCAACCTTTGGTTTTCTTGCAATTGCTTTTGGGGGCTTTGCCAAAAATTATTTGCCAAGGCTGATATAGAGAAGGGTACCTCCTAGGTTTTCTTCTAGGATTTTTATAGCTTGAGGTCTTATTTTTAAATCTTTAACCCATCTTGAGTTAATCCTTTTTTTTTTTTTAGGAGAAGAGACATTTTTATTTGTTGAGGATGCTCACAGGGGCACTACATGTTTGTCCACTAAGAGAAACCTTTTCTTTTGTACATCTCTGTTGAAACTAACTTAGAAACAGGCTTGTCTCTAAATACACTTTACACAAAAGATAAAGCCCATAGAGTTTCATATGTAATAGGAGACATTTCAAATTGTTAGTGTAAGAAGTGTATTTATGGTCCTGTGTGGGAGTCTAATAATGCCTATTACCTATGGTAGATGCGCATGGATATTGACTCATTCTGAATTAGTTAACAAAAGGTAGGCATCCAGTTTCATTTTTCTGCACATGGCTAGCCAGCTATCCCAGCATCACTTATTGAATAGGGATTCCTTTCCCCATTGCTTATTTGTGTTGGCTTTGTCAAAGATCAGATGGTCGCAGGTGTTCAGCTTTATTTCTGGGTTTTTTATTCTGTTCCATTGGTGTAGGTGTCTTTTTTGTGCCAGTACCATGATGTTTTGCTTACTGTAGCCTTATAGCATAATTTGAAGTCAGGTAGCATAATGCCTCCAGCTTTGTTAACTTCCTGGACTAGATGGAGTCACAGACATATTCTATCAGCTACACAAAGAACTGTTATCAATCCTACTGAAACTATTCCAAAAAAATTGAGGAGGAGGGGTTCCTCTCTAACTCATTCTGTGAAGCCAGCATCAGCCTGATACCAAAATCTGGCACAGACACAATGAAATAAGAAAACTTCAGGCTAATATTCCTGATGAACATAGATGCAAAATTCCCCAACAAAATACTAGCAAATTAAATCCAGTAGCATACCAAAAAGTTAACACACCCTGATCAAGTAGGCTTTATTCCTGGGATGTACAGCTGGTTCGATATATGCAATCAATAAATGTAATTTACCACATAAACAGAATTAAAAGAAAAAGCCATATGACTACCTCAATAGATGCAGCAAAAGTGTACAATAAAATCCAAAATTCATTGATGATAAAAACCCTCACAGACTAGGCATAAAAGGAACATATCTCAAAATAATAGGAGCCATCTATGAAAAACCCACTGCCAACACCATACTGAACAGGCAAAAGCTGGAACCATTACCCTTGATAACTGGAACAAGAAAAAGATGCCCTCTCCCACCACTCCTGTTCAGTATAGTACTGGAAGTTCTAGCCAGTGCAATCAGGCAAGAGAAAGAAATAAAATGAATTCAGATAGGAAAGTAAGAAGTCAAACTATCTCTTTCACTGATGATATGATTCTATACCTAGAAATCCCTAAAGACTCCACCAAAAGCTCCTATAACTGATAAATGCCTTTAGTAAAGTTTCAGGATACAAAATCAATGTACAAAAATCAGTAGCATTGCTATATATCAATAACATTCAAGCTGAGAGTCAAATCGAGAATACAATCCCATTTACAGTAGCCACACACAAAAAAACTGAAATACCTAAGAACACATTTAACCAAGGAGGTGAAAGATATCTACAAGAAGAACTACAAAACACTGCTGAAAGAAATCAGAGACAACACAAATAAACGGAAAAACATTCCATGCTCATGAATTGGAAGAAACAATATCGTTAAAATGGTCATACTGCCCCCCAAAATTTACAGATTCAACACTATTCCTATCAAATTGCCAAAGTCATTTGCCAGAGAAACAGGAAAAAAACAATTCTAAATTCCTTTGGTACTTCATCTCAGAGATAAAGAAATTAAGACTCGTAGAGTTTAAATGATTTCAAAAGTCGCCAGGCTTGAGCTCAAACTGAAACCTCCTTATTCTGTTTGGTTATCTTAGCTTTACATCCATTACCATGTAAAAATAGCCTGTGATGTTAAAGTATTTTGCCACAATGACAAAATACTTTTATTTGCCACATTCATTTAGCCAGTGGATATCATTAGAGTATCTTCTATGCGTCAGATGATATGAAAGAAAAGTGATCTACCAGGAGTGAAAATATCAGTTCAAGCTTCAGGTCTTCCAAACCTGATGTGTGTAGAAATTACACCAATGAATGGTATAACCTAATTAATTGTAGGATGAGGCACATGCTACAACGAAGAGTTACAGCAAAATCATTCATAAGATCTCTTTCAGGTCTCAGCTTCTATAATTCAACTAAACAGCTATACATGTGTTTAAAGAAGAAAAAAACTCATGAATGAAGATTTACAGCTTTACCCGAGAGCAAAGAAAGATGTTCACCTGCCAGATTTAAGTCACTGGATAACATCCGATAATTTTTATTTTGTAAATGAAGAGACTATGATAGATTACTACCTGTCA